ATGCCGATATCGAAGCAAGTTTCACGTAAATGACTTTAGATGGAACTGTTCGTTGGAAAGCCTCTTCTCGGACCAGATGGGAACGAAATCGACGCGGAAGAGGCCCTAGAGGGAAAGGTGCGTTTTCTTCCGATCGTAACAGATTTGGGAAAGTTTGAAACGATAGCAAACTCGTCTCTCTCTGATTTCGACCGTTATGTTTGTTCCATGGTTGACTAGGAACGGAACCAACACTCGTGGAGCCGGCGCCACTTGACGCTAGCGGTGTTTGTGGAGTACGATCTCCTTCCCCCAGGCTCAACCATGGGAGAGCCCAGGCAACCAGGGAAGGCTCGGCCTAGTCTCGTTTAGTCGAATACCAAGATCGAAACCTCCTGCATTGGGGGATGGAAGCTGCGCACTTCTCCACTCTTTCATGTCATTTCAGCGCCCTTTCGCGAGAAGGGATTGACATAATTAATGTTAATCCACAGTGAACTTGCGAACTCCATGCCGAGAACCACGCAAACTTCGATCATGCAGTATGCCTGTGATGCCGGCACCGATCTTGCGCATTTTAGTGCACGTTTGTCATAGTCACCGCAATAGTGGATATCTTACGCATGGTTTAGACCATCGAATACCCATAAAAGTACAGTTAATATCCTCTAATTCAGTCAGGGCGGTGATGGAATGAGCCCCCACCGGCCTTTTCTACCAGTAGATATTTTCTTCCTGAATCATTCATTAAGCTGTTATTATTGGTAGAAAACTCAGCTAGTGGTGGGCTCATGTAACACCTCCTCACACCGCCCCCGAATGAATGCGGTGATATTAACTATAAGTGTATAGAAGAATGCGAAAAAGAGGGCACGAAACGGAATGGCTTATGCATGCAGTACACCGGTTCATCCCATGTGAGCGAGGTATCAGCCAATTTTGTTTAAGATTTCGAAGCAGTGGAAGTTGAATGGCGGCAAGCATTGTTTTCGGCCCTCGTACTTTTGCTCCTAAACGTTTGTTTCAGGTGATAGCATTGTACTTTTCGGCGATGTGGTGTCCGTCATGTCGTCAGTTCACTCCTAAGCTTGCTGTGAGTGGCTTGCAATCGATATAACCTTTACCGTGAAAGCTTATAAATTTTAACGCTGCCTTCAGAGGTTCTACAAGGCACTCAAGGAGGCCGGCAAAAATTTTGAAATAGTCCTCGTGTCACGAGATCGTGAAGATGAAGATCTAAAGGTAAGAAAGTGTTTTGGTCTAATCGCAGACAATGGAAGGTCAAGGATGGTGGTTCATCAGATCCAAGGCACGGCGAGGGCTGTAAAAGAGCGGCGTCGCATAATGGGTGTCGGGCGCGTCATCCCACACTTAGAAACGCAATGATTTGACGTGGCACATGCTGCATCGTTTTAAAGGGTCAGGAATATAATTTTATTCGATTAAGTGCAGTAATGGCGTGGCGGAGTACATTAAACACAATCGCTCAAGCCAAGTGGAAGGCATAGCTAATGGGCGAAGCATTGAAATTATTCCGTTGATCAGGGCTGAGAAGGATGTTCATGTCACGAGCGCATTCATGTCGACGTTCCATACTACCTATAAAGGAGACAATTAAGGAAGGCCTAAACTCGCGAATTTCGCGGGGCGTGTGTTTGAAACTGCGGGTCCAAGACTTAATTTCGCGGAACTCGCTCATGAACGATTTTCGGAGGTTTGGGCTTGCGAGGAGTTGGGAGCTGAGCAAAACACATGGTTGAAGGCGATCATGAGGAGGGAGAAATCGTGAGAAGGGAGAGACGGAAGAGAATGCTTCTGCGAAAGTGCGAAAATTAGCGGCACCGCCTGACCCTGGTATAAGAAGTTTAGGCCAGGCACGCACATGACGACTGCATGCTGAGAATGGTGTACACCAACAGTGCTCCACAGGAACGGATACCGTATAATCCAAAGTTCTTTTTTATGAAGCCCGATCCTTGGTTGACACTTTTGTAGCTGGTTTAATGATCACACGTGTGCTATTGCTGAGACATTTACGAGGCGCGTGTGTTGACCAGTTGATGCGTACTTACAACCGTCAGAAGCGGGTAAATTATTGTACACCATCTCCTGCGAAACATGAGCATTATGAGAATGAGCAATATGAGAAGAGCCGTATCTGACCGCTGGGAAGGGTGTCGCTTTAGGTCTCAAAAGGAACCCTTCTTATTGATGACTTCCTTCGAATCACGCGTTCAACGCTCCACAATTCCTCCCCTCCCCTAGTTTCCAGACAAAATTGACATCGCTGATAATGATCGGGCCTGTTCACTCCCATCTCCTCCGCCTCCTTCGAGACGACCGTACAGTTATTAAAAATTCGGTAGGAGAGTAATTAATTTATGAAAGGAAGATCTTCACTGGGGTAAGAACTTTGGGGGAGGGGGGTCGGGGTGATAGCGCCATTTCCGCAGCTGCAGTAGCGTGCCACTTACTCCGCTCAAAAATGTACGGAACGGGTATGTAGATAAGTGCCACACGCCTGTAATTTGAAACTCCGCAAATGCAGCCGCACGGTCAGTAACTCTTCTAACTTAGCCAAACGTGCTTCTTGCTTTCACTTCTGGTGGTCGCTTTACTGCGTCAGGTAATCCTGCAAACGATAGGGCATGTGAGGTGAGGCGGCAAGGCCTGAAGCGCAGCCACTGCGGCCTTTTCATCCGTCCTTCTCGAGCCTGCAACAATTGGTGGGAAAGGCCGCTCGGACTGCGCTTATTGTGCCTTCTCCAGTTCTCTCAAAGCATCAGTTTCATTTTTTTTTCAGGAATATCTTACGGAGCATTGTGGTGGCTGGCTAGCAATTCCTTTTGGTGATGAGAGAATACAGTAAGTAATTGGTCTTGGATATTATACTACTAACTAATATACTAATTCGCTAATCAGC